TGCTGTATGTATATATGTGACTACATGACCAATATTGATTCTGCAACATGTACACTCAGAAAAGTGAGAAATTATATCCCATCTATGTATGATATATCAAAGTATATAAATGCATTCTACTGTCATTTATAACTAATTAAAACAAAGAAATTAGGAAAAAAAGAAGTGGTGATGGAGGGCATCCCTGTCTTGTTCCAGTTTTTCGACGGAATGTTTTCAATTTTTCTCCATTTAGAAAGATGTTAGCCTTGGGCTTAGCATAGATAGCTTTTATAATGTTGAGATATGGTTCCTATTATCCCTAGTTTTTCTAGTTTTGAACATGAAGGGGTGCTGTATTTGTAGAATGCTTTTTCTGCATCTATTGAGATGATCATATGGTACTTATCTTTAAGTCTATTGATGTGACCAATTACATTTACTGATTTCTATATGTTGAACAAACCTGGGGTGAACCCCACTGGATTGTGGTACACTATCATTTTAATATGTTTTTGTATTAGATTTGCCAGAATTTTTATTGAGAATTTTTGCATCTATGTTCATTAGAGATAATGGTCTGAAGTTTTCTTTCTTTGATGTGTCTTTGCCTGGTTTTGGAATCAGAGTAATATTGGCCTCATAGAATGAGTTTGGAATTTTTTTCCTTTTTTTCTCTTTAATGGAATAATTTTAGGAGTATTGGTATTAGTTCTTCTTTGAAGGTCTTATAGAGCTTAGCTATGTATCCATCTGGCCCTGGGTTTCTCTTGGTTGGTAGGCTTATGATGGCATCTTCTATTTCATTGCTTGAAATTGATCTGTTTAACTTGTATATATCATCCTGATTCAGTTTGGGCAAATCACATGACTCTAGAAATTTGTCGATGCCGTCAATATTTTCTATTTTATTGAAGTACAAATTTTCAAAAGAATTACTAATTATCTTCTGTATTTCTGTAGTGTCCATCATGATATTTCCTTTTTCATCATGGATGTTAGTTATTTGAGTTTTCTCTCTCCTTCTCTTCGTTAGCACAGCTAAGGGTTTATCAATTTTATTTATTTTTTTCAAAGAACTAACTTTTTGTTTTGTCAAATATTTTAATTGTTTCTTTTGTTTCAGTTTCATTGATTTCAGCTCTGATTTTAATTATTTCCTGCTTCTACTTTTTTGGTTTGTTCTTCTTTTTCTAGGGTTTTGAGATGTAATGTTAAATCATTTGTTTGTTGACTTTTTTTTCTTTTAAGGAATGAACTCCATGCAATAACTTTCCTCTTAGTACTGCCTTCATAGTGTCCTAGATATTTCAGTATGTTGTATCAGTATTCTCATTTACCTCTAAGAACTTTTTAATCTCTTCTTTAATGCCTTCTGCAATCCATTGTTCATTCAATAGCATATTTAGTCTCCAGGTGTTAGAGTAGCTCCTAGTTTTTATTTTATCATTGATTTCTAATTTTATTCCATTGTGATCTCATAGAATATAGAGTAGTATCTCTGTTTTTTGGATTTGCTAAGAGTTACTTTGTGGCATAATATATGGTCTATTTTAGAGAAGGATCCATGTGTTGCTGAGAAGAAAGTGTATTTCACTCATTGATGGATGAAATATCTATATATGTCTGGTAAGTCTAATTGATTGTATTATTGAGTTCTGTAGTTTCTTTGTTTAACTTTTGTTTGGAAGGTCTGTCCAATGGTGAAAGAGGTGTGTTAAACTCACCCAGTATTATTGTGTTGTGGTCTATTTGACTCTTGAAATTGAGAAGAGTTTGTTTGATGAACATAGATGTTCCATTGTTTGCAGCATATAGATTTATAATTGTTATGTCTTGTTAATGTATGGTTCCCTTAAGCAGTATATAATATCCTTCTTTATTCCTTTTGATTAACTTTGGCTTGAAGTTTACTTTATTTGATATGAGGATGGAAACCCCTGTTTCTTACTGCAGTCCATGTGAGGGATATCTTTTTCCCAATCTTTCACCTTCCATCTGTGGATGTCTTTTCCTAAGAGAGGAGTCTTTTGAAGGCAGCATATTGTTGGGTCTATTTTAAATCAAATCTGCCTGTCTGTCTTTTGATTGATGAGCTTAGGCCATTAACATTCAGGTTTATTATTGAGACATGATTTATATTTCTAGTCACTTTTGTTTATTTTTACTATATAACTTGACTTGGTTTTTCCTTTGATTGGTTTTTCTTTTAGTGTAAAACCTACCATTGCTTATTTTCATTGTTGATTTTGTTTCCTTCTCATGAAATATCTTGCTGAGGATGTTCTGTAGTGCAGGCTTTCTAGTTGTAAATTTTTTAAAATTTTGTTTATCATAGAAGGTTTTTGTTTCGTCATCACATCTAAAGCTTAATTTTGCTGATATAATATTCTTGGTTTCTTTCAGAGCTTGGCATATGTTTTTCTAGGATCTTCTAGTTTTCAGGATCTGGGTTGGAAAATCTGCAGATAGCCTAATTGGTTTCCCCCTATATGTAATCTGATTCCTTTCTCTTATAGCTTTTAAAATTCTCCCATTCTGTATGCTAGGTGTTTTCATTATAATGTGCCTTGGTGTGGATCTGTTATGATTTTGTACATTTGGTGTCCTATAAGTCTCTTGTATTTGATTTTCCAATTCATCCTTCATATTTGGAAAATTTTCTGGTTTTATTGAATAGATTGTTCATTTCTTTGGTTTGTAACTCTATGCCTTCCTCTATCCCAATAATTCTTAAATTTGGTCTTTTTATGTTATCTCATAATTCTTGAATGTTCTGCTTATGGTTTCATTTTGTGGTCAACTTATTTCAAGATTATATGTTTTCTCTTTATTGTCTGAGGTTTTGTCTTCCAAATGATCTAACCTGTTGGTGATGCTTTCCATTGTGTTTTTAATTTGGTTTATTCTTTCCTTCATTTCAAGGACTTCTGTTGTTTTTTTTTTTTGCCCCCTCAGAACCTCCATCTCCTTTTTGAAGGAATCTTTTGTTTCCTATATTGGCTTATGTAACTCTTTATTGTAATTATATTTTGCTGCCTGTATTTGCTCTCTTATATCATCCTTTAATGCACAGAACATTTTAATTATGTATATCCTGAACTCCTTCTCTGTCATTTCTTCTGCTGTGCTGGCCATGGATTCTAGTAATATAGTATCTTGGTTTGTTTAGGGCACTTCATTCCCTTGTTTTCTCATGTTGTTTGTATGTCTTCCCTTGTAGCACTGCAGATCCAAGGTGTTACAGTTTTTACCCTATAGGCATATAGTGTCCCTGCAGGGTTCCAATACCTCTCTTTTAAGGGGGAGAACAATATTAACAGATCCCAATACAAACAATATACAACCTTGAACCAAATAACCACTATTAAGACATTTGTGGGGTTGTCACAATATGCAGAAATGTTGAGTTTAATTATTATCTACAATATAAACAGTAGGTTTGCAAAAGGGTCTACAGTTTCGGATGGTGAACAAAGAGAACAGGGGTGTGGTATAGGATGAGATGTTAAGGAGGTAGGAGGTAAGGATATAAAGACTTATTAGATCTTAGGAAGCTTGAAAAAGGAATCTAGTTGGCTAGTAGCAGGAGAAAAGAGAGAAAGTAATTTTGATGAGACTAGTAAGTGAGAAGACAATGGAATAAAAAAACAAATAACCATAAAAATTAAGAAAAATAAAAATGTAGAAATAGGAGATAAAATAATATGCAACACAACTGTCATATACTACACAGACATTCCAGTCCTCAATAGCCTAATCCATGAAAAATACTTGGTTTCACAAATGTTGGGGATGTGGGGGTGGGAGAAGAGAGAGAGAGAGAGAGAGAGAGAGAGAGAGAGAGAGAGAGAGAGAGAGAAAGGGGAAAAAAGAGAAAAGAAAAAATCTCAAAGGAAAATACAAGGATTGTTTTTGTTGGAGTTCAGTATCTTTCCTGCTTCCCTACTCATCCAGTAGTTGGGATTGTCTGTTGTTTGCTGGTATCTCCACCCTTAGGCTAATGAAGATTATTAGGGTAGGAGGGTTGGTCTTGGGGATGGAGCTCCTGGAAGTGGCATATAGTAGTTGCATGTCCCCAGTGGGAGACAGCATCTTAAGTATCTCCTTTGGGGCCTACTCATGTGATGTAGGTGCCTGGTCTTATCTCCTTATATCACCTATAGACCATAGCCCTCACAATTCCTGGTCTCTAATGTAGTCTCTAAACTGTATCTCACTCACCCCCTCCCTTTCTACTTCCCAATCAGGAACCTCTCTCTCCAGAGATCTTATGGACTGTGCTATGGGGGCTGCGTACCTGTCCCTAGAGAGCTGTTTTGTATTGGGCAGTTCAGGGCCAGGCTTGCGAGCTTGCCACATAGCCGCAAGCACTGTGCCCTGTTAGTGGCTGCAGGGGAGGAAGGAGTTGGGGACTATAGGTACTTTGACATTGCTTCTAGGACCCAGCCGGTTTGCCAAGCTGGGAGTTGCCCCAACTAAAGATGGTGACAAAGGTGTCCCAAGGGCTGGACAGTGGCATTGGGTGTCGTGTTCAGAGATGCAGCTCGGTGGTGTACAGTGTTGTGGCTGGTGGCTGTCTTCAGACCCTGTTTGGTGTCCCCAGGTGCAGGCTATTGCAAGTAAGGGACTATGGCAGTGGTTACAGTGTCCCAAGATGGAGGCGACAGGGGAGCCTCATGGGATTGCACAGAGGAATGGTGACCAGAGGTCCTGCGCATAGGCAGCCACAACCAGGATCCTGTGTGGGTTTGCAGCAAGGGACCTGTGCATTAATGTTCTGGCACAGCTGTTGGGGGTCCTCTAATAACTCACAGAAAAACAGTATTCCCCACTACTTGAATCCAGGTCACAGAGCAACACAGAATGCAGCCTTCCTCTAGCCCACAATCTTGGGTCTCCATAGAGAACATTTTTAAGGGTCCTGGTTTTTGATCTTGTCCACAAGGCCTCAGGTGGAGTGTTGACTTGCCAATAGTACAGGAGGAACTGTGCTGCCATTTGCAGTGTTTCCCTTGCAGGTGGAACGGCCAGCAGGCAGAGGGGCTTTCTGGGGTGCATTCGGTTTCTGCAGTTGAACGGGATGGCTCTGGACCTGGAGGGAAGAGCCAAGGTGACTCCAGGAGTGGAGGCAGGGTGTGCAGGACACTGCAGCAGCTATGCACACTTGTGTCACAATGGGGGCATATGTCAAGAACGGCACAGAGGAGTGGCTTGCGACTGTACATCCTCTGCCTATGAGGGCCCATTCTGCTCACATGGTAAGTGGCCAAGAAGGAGGCTTCAAGTACAACATGAAGAATGTTCTGGCATATGATGCTACAAAGAAAGGACAAAGCAACTCTATGATGATTTGAAATAGAATTTCTGTCCCAAATCCTCTGTGTAATTCAGGAAGAGATAGGAATCTGTTTTGAGAAGCCATTACTGGCTACTTCTGTTAGCTCTGGTAGCAGTCATTTCTGGATTGCCGTAGTGAAATGCCCCATGAAGAGGAAAAACCTCTGAATTATATGTTTAGACTAGAGATTTAATTTTATGTAAATCTAAGATGAAATATTTTGAAGGCAACAGTGAAATATTTATCATTACAAAATCAAGTTATAAAAATAATGGAGAATGAGTATGTGTAATATTTTATTAGATAAATAATAGTATATATACATTTTTAACCTTAAAATTGTAAAAGTAAAATGAAACAGTAAAAATGCCATTATTATTTTCTCTCTTGGGATAGTGAGGGATTAGGTTTTTTTAAAAAATGTGCATAAAGCAAGTATTATTGCACTTAAGTATTACTAACAAAACAAAAATTTTGTCCAGAGATTTCTGCCTATTTTGGAGCTGGTTCCTCCATAATCTACAGTTTTCAAGAGCATCACAATTACACCTTCAATGGGAACTCCAGCTCCTTAGCAGCTTTATTTCATGAGGAGCTAACACTAACCAGGGAAATAGTCACCTTGAGCTTCCGAACCACGGGGACTCCCAGCCTGCTGCTGTTTGTAGGCTCTGTCTATGAGGAGTACCTTTCAGTTATCCTTGCCTCCAATGGTGAGTATGAGAACCAACCCACTTGAATCAAATGTATGAAATATGATATGTCAAGAGCTTTGTAATGTTTTGAACAACCAATAATAAATAAATAAATAAATAAATAAATAAGAAACTGAGTAAGAAAAATGTGACCATAAAGCCACAGGACCTTTCGGTGATCCAGTCACAAACCAGGCTTTACTACAGTTGCTTTATTTTTCATTATAACCCCAAATATTTACAGCAAAAGTTAACATTTCAACGATTCAATTAAGATGCCTTTCTCCCATAAACGTTTGATTATTTTATGGGTTTGGTGTGAAACTGTGCTTCCTGTGATTCCCTGGGGGGGGCCTATGCTTCTATGTATGAAATATATAATTGAATTTTGTAGTTCTCTTTGAAATATCTTGTTTAATACATGGAAAATATTTCTAGTTCCCTCTAAGAAAAAAAAATAAAGAAATATTTAAACCATAGAAAAGACAATATCCATAAGCATCCAATAAATATGATGGTTCTTTATCTATTAGTAGTTGAGAAATCACTAGTGTCATGCGTATATGAAAAAGTTGAGTGACCCACCCAACTGAAGCCTGCTAAGGCTTTTTCAGGAGTACACAGTTGGAGAACAAACAATCTTAAACTGGTTTCTATGGATATGCAAAAACCATATGAGAATTATAAGTATTAAGAGAATTATTGAGCTCCATCTGTGAAGAAGTACAGTATGTGGAATGAGAGATTTGGATACTGCAAAAAACAATATATTTCTATTTTTCTCTATTTCTTTGTTATGGCACAAACTTTAGGGGGAAAAATCCTGATCGTGTAAGGAAAAAAATTAATTATGCAAATGTCAACAATACATTAAATTGCAGTGAATTCAGATTAAAAGAAGTTAAAGAACCTGAACATTAATGCAGTATTGCTTGAGGTTTTACCATTTAATAATATGACTATCACATTAATAATTGACTTAGAGCCTGGTTCAGAGTTTTCATATGCTCAACTTACACTTTTTCATTTAGTTAAGGAAAATTGAGGATGTTGGAAAGGAGACTGTTCATTATAATCCATTTGATATTAACTTTTAAAATAGTAACTAAATTTAGAATGTGGCCCTAAAATAGCTCATAAACGATCAATTTTCCAGGAGAAGTATATATTGTTCCACCCAAAAATATGCTCCATAGATTCAAATTATATTTAGAAAATTTAATGTGATTTAGAACCTGCGTGGGCAATTTTTGTAAAGTTTTGTTTTAGTTAAAACTGTCTTTTTTTTTTGTCTTCAGGAAGTTTGCAGATCAGGTATAAGCTAGACAGACACAGAGAGCCAGATGTTTTTAACTTTGATTTTAAAAACCTGGCTGATGGGCAACTTCACAATGTGAAGATTAACAGAGAAGCTGCAGTGGTCTTTGTAGAGGTAAGATAATAAATCTAACAATGGCATCAATAATTAAAATAGTGGCTCTCAGAATGTATGAGTTAAAGCAAAAATTTGATAATACATCTTAATAACAGAAATACCCATTTAGCACTATTATTCTCTAAGTCTTGTTAGGACAGACATGTAATCAAAGTGTTTTGTTTAGCAATGAGATTATCAAAGCTGTTGTTAGTAAGTACTAACAGTTTTAAAAGCAAAGCTGTCCTCAGATGTTTTACTTGACTTGATAGAGAAATATCTAATATATGATAGTGAAAGTTGACAAACCCATTCCCACTTTATACAAAAGAATAAATGCTACAGCAATTTAAACACAAGGAAAAGGTCAAGATCTTGCTTAAAATAAGAATCTATTTTTGAAAAAGCACCAGAGTAAATTAAACTTTGAGATTTAAAATAGCTTATTGCATTTCCTACGGATTATACCATTTATGGATACTTATACCATGAATAAAAATAAAGGGAAAAGGGTGAGACAGTGAGGACAAGTGGAATTTAATGTATTACTGAAATTGTTCAAGAAAGGGTTTCTCCATTCTAGATAATCTATTGTTTGAAGTTGGTTTCTTTCATCTTTCTGATAGCACTAATGTATCACTTATCTTTGTCATTTTTCTTGGCCTGCCCTTGATTCCCATCCTCTTATCATCCAAATTGCTCACATTTCCATGTCTACTTCTTGTGGACTGTTTAATAGGTTAACCAGAATGCAAGGAGAAGAGCCACTCTGTCATCAGGGATGGAATTCAATGCTGTCATATCTCTTGTGTTGGGGATGATTTTAGGTAAGTGAAAGAGTGTCTCCCCACAAGAAATGGCTCATAACCACGGAATTGCAAATGCAGGAAGCTTTTGTCAAGCTGAAAGAGGCTTCTTGTCATGTTGGTAATTTTCAGTGAGTGCTAATCAAGGTAGAAACCATATTCTTATCTGAGTGCACCTGTAATCCTAAGTGCTGCCTGCCAGGAGCTGCAGCCTTCCTTGAAAAGCTCTCCCACTAACCTCCCCTCACTTGGCAATCGGCATAACCCTTAAAAACTTGGTAATTTTCTAACTCAAAAAAGCCAAAATCAAAGCAGATATTAAGTTCACAAGTTACATTTAGAAACTTAATACACACTTTCAGCGAAGAATTCACAAGCCAAATAAGAAATTATTTAATGATAAAACTAGACAAGATTAAGAGAAGAAGACAATTGTGAGTTGCAATGAGATGTGTCACTTACTCTCAGCCACTCTTGTAAAATCACAGCCTAAATATCTCACAGACATTTTTCTGCCCCTAGTTATTTTCCATAAAATCATCAAAATAAAAGTGTACTTTACTAATTAGGCATCAAATTCTTTGTGTCTTTATTTTTCCTTTTTCAACATGAATTAAATAGAAATAAAAGTCAAATTTTAAATTATTTTAAAGAAAGCATTATGAATCCCAGTGCTCTCCAGGGTGTTCCCATACATGTTAAAAACAAATGTGTGAAGTTTAGATGGTGCAGCCTAACTGACAGCTCTATGCTGGTCACATGGCATTAAAGATAAGATTAAGAGTTCCGGGTGTGGCTCAGTGGTAGAGCAGTTGCCTAGCATGATGGGCAATGCCCTGGGTTTCATCCCCTTCAACACACACACACACACACACACACACACACACACACACACACACAGAGGGCACATTGGGTTTCTTGAGGAGGGTATTTGAATTCTTTGCTGAAAGTGTATAGTAAGTTTCTAAATGGAATTGATAGGGAAATTTCAGCTTAAAGGGGTGATTCTGCATTGTCATCAAAATTTCAATAAAGAATCTAGCTAGTCCTGGAGGAGAAACAGCTTGTACTATTGGTCCTTTCACATGATTTGTTACTCTAGCCCTGGTTCTCATACATGGAAATCTGATTGAACCAGTTAAAACAGAAACAAAAATAATGATGGTTGCTTCACATTCTGTGTTAGGAGATGCTCATTACTGTTGCAGTCTGGTATAGAAGTGCTGCTAGTTATTTTCCTAGTCTCTAGCAAACTGGCTGTATTTCCTAGGCATTTCTGGATATCTGTGTTTTCATGATATTAGTAGTTTTTTATTCTATAGTATAGGAAACCAGAAGGAATTGGAAAAACAGATGAAAGAAACTGCTCCAACTGTCAGCCATGGAATAACAGAATACAGTTAGAGAAGGCTGTGAGATTCCAAAAAGTTCAAAGGCAGTGTTGAGTTTTAGGAACCAGTGGTTGCTACCCAGTTCTCAGCCATCAGCTGAACTATAATTATTTTTAACATTCTGATGAATGCTGAGATAATAATCAAGGAGTACAAAGCCTCAGATTTTTGTAAGGTCTTTTCTAAGAGCTGAATACTATACATTTCAATGTCACTGGGAGGCTGGATCTTGAATGTTCTCAATACAGTAAAATGTTTGAGGTGATGGATAGGTTGGTTGGCTTAATTTGGTTATTTCACATTGTAACAAAAAAAAATCACAGCATCATCATTTTGTATCTTAAAAACACATATAGCTATAATTTATCAATGTGCATATTTTTAAAAACATACAAGTAGAAAAGACTTTGCTTTCTCTTTAAAAATTTGCTATTGAGCTCTACCCTCTGTCCTGGCTGGTGGTGACTAAGTTTGAGAGAAATGAGAAATTGTTCCCACACGTGGTACACCGATCCCAAGCTGTACTTTGGTAGAGTAGATGCAGTCTATGAGTGCAGAGGTGGTTCCTCTCTGCCCTCAGTGAACCAATTCCTCTTTATTCCCAGATCAGATGTCTTTACTTTTTTCAAGCCACCAAGACAGAGTCAGTCGATAAGCAAAACAAACATAAACACACAAACAATTAACTTCCTGCCCTTAGTGTCTTCAGTGCCTGGAAGGAAAAATGAGTTATGTTCAGAAATGTCCATAGGAAGTTGTCTTCCATAAATGAAATTGGCAAAGGAGTAGTTTTAAATAGAATTTAGTCTTAGATTTAATGTGGGTAAAGAAAGATGCAGTAGGGCTGGGACTGGTAGCACACAGTTGCCTGGCATGTGTGAGGCGCTGGGTTTGTTTCTTAGCACCATACATAAATACATAAATAAAATAAAATCAACAACTAAAAAAATATTTAAAAAAGAAAGATGCAATAAATTATGGAAATTGATTAAAGTGAAGCATATTTTATGAATGGTGTTCATATTAGTTAAAAAGTAGAATAATAAATTGTATTGCATAAATTTTTATTTTCCTACTAATTAATATGTAGAGGACAGTGGCATTAAACCAAAAATGTTTATTTAAGAGTGATGTAGTCAAAACAATGTCATTTCAGATTGTAAAAATTAAAGTTGAAATTTGACAATGAAGCTTATAGACTGAAGCAATTGGTCTAATAAAATAATAAGTATTTCATTTCATCTCTACCTAGAGGCATGCATCTTGAATTAAAGGCTAGTACAAATTTTCATGTTTTAGATAACTGTATTTCAAGATGGCTTCTGTTCCAAGTTGCTGCTTTTCAGTTAACAAGCTAAGGATGAACACAATTTTGTTCTCATATTTGGAGACAGCAATTTGGGTTTCATTTCATTAGCTTAAAATGAAATAGAACAATAGGTAGACTCAAGAGAGATCCATTCATTTTACAAGAAGTTGTCCTAAATTATGACAAGTTATTCATTACTTATTGTTAAAATTTTTAAATTGACAAAAATTATATATGTGAATCAGGTAAAAAAATGGTGTTTTAAAATTCGTATACATTGTGGAACGGCTAAATTGTACTTATCAACATATGCATCAACTCATATACTTATCACTTTTTGTATGGAAAACACTTAAAATAGACTCTGAGATGTTATTTTATATCCTTTACCAACATCTCCCCAACTCCTGTTCCCACCAACCCCAGTAACCACCATACCATTCTGTTCTCTGTTCTGAGTTCAACTTTTACATTTCACATATAGATAATGAGGTCACCAAGTACTTTTCATTCTGTGCCTGGTGTATTTCACTTAATTCAATGGCCTTCCTGATTCATCCATGTAGTTGCAAAGAACAGAATTTCCTGGAAGTCCATGTGTTATTTTTTTTCCTTCCTCTTGAGTTGAGTTCCTAATGTGTCTGAGGTGTCAGCCCCGCTATCAGATGCACAGGTTGTAAGTATTTTCTCCAATTCTGTAGATTGACTCTTTACTGTGCTGCTTCCTTTACTGTGTAGAAGCTTTTTGGTTGCTGTAACTATATATTTTTACTTTTGATACCTATCCTTTTTAGGTCATATCCAGAATCAGTGCCCAGAATGTCATCAAGAAGCATTTTCCATATTTCTTCATATATTAGTTTTATAGTTCTAGACTGAATGTTGAACTATGCAATCCATTTTGAGTTGATTTTTTAAATGATGTGACATAAGAGTCTAGTGTCATTCTTCTGCCTATGGATATCTAGTTTTCCTAACACCATTTGTTGTACAGACTTTTTCCCATTGTGTATTCTGGGAATCTTTGTCAAAAATAAGTTAGCTAAAAGTACGTAGTTCTGGGTTCTCTGTTCTGTGCGATTGGTCTGTATGTCTGTTTTTATCCCAGCACCATGCTATTGATTACTATACTTTTGTGGTACATTTTAAAATCAGGTAGTGTGATGCTCCCAGGTTTATTCTACTTGCTTAAGATTCCTTTGTTAATTCAGGATCTTTAATGATTCTGTATAAATTTTAGGATTCTTTTCTATTTCTATAAAAAATATCATTGGAATTTTTATACAGATTATTAATCTTTATACAAAATTAGACATTTTGGCAATATTAATTCTTTGAATGCAGAAATATCAATCCAGGAATATCTTCTTCATTTTCTTTCAGCAATGTTTTATGATTTTCAGTGTATAAATCATTTGCCTCCTTAGTTAAATTTATTTATAATAATTTAATTATTTTTAAATGTTGTAAATGGAATTTTAAAAATTCTTCTTTGAATAATTTATTTTGTGCAGAAAATCTACTGATGTTTGCATGTTGATATTGTATCCTATAACTTTGTTGAGTTTGTTTACCCATTCTAGCAGATTTTTGGTGAGTCTGTAGGATGGTGAAAATATAAAATCATGTCATCTGCAAACAGGAACAGTTTATTTGCTTTCCAATTTGGTTGCTTTTTGCTTTATTTTGAGGTTTCTTATTTGTTGTTTTGTTTTGTTGTCTTGTTTCTTTTTGTTCATTTTTTTTCTAGGAGTATTTTTGATGTTGTTGTTATTGTTGTGACATTTGTTTTGTTTTTCTTATACTGGGGTTTAAACCTAGAGGTGCTTTATGACTAAACTGCATCCCAAGACCTTTTTATTTTTTATTTTGAGACATAGTCTCAAAATCTTTTGATTTTACCTTGAAAAGTTCCCATTGGCATTTCTTATAAGTCAGTTCTTGAACTTGCAGTCCTCTTACCTCAACCCCCCAAGTAGCTGGGATTACAGGTGCCCACCTCAATTTGATGCTTTTGATTTCCTTCTCTTACCTAATTCTCTGGTTAGATTTCCACTACTTTGTTGAATAGAAATGGAAAGAGTGAGCAGTTCTCTTGTTTCCTATTTTAGAGGACAGCTTTTAACTTTCCACTGTTGAGTGTAATTTAACTTGTACCTTTATCACATATGACTGTGATATGCTTTGGTTCCTTTTGCTTTGTGATTTCTGTAAGGCTTACATAAAACATAGTGATAAGGAATTTATTTTAGGCTGATAGCATCTTGATAATGTAAGGAAAACAATATTTTTACTTTATCTCCCCCCATAGTTTGTTTTTA